GACAACGTGACGGGACAATGTGTAGGTGATGAGTAATTGAATGTATGCGGACAGATTATTGTTGCCCTGTGAGACGTTTGTTATAGAGCGACTGTTGAAATTAAGTGTATCGTAAAGTTGTATTAAGAAAGCATAAACCAGTTTTATTAAGAAAGGACTTGTGTTGCTAAAGTTTCGTCGAACGAATTTACGGGAAATCAATTAACAAACGGAGATGTAACAATACTTTAAGCTTTAAATTTTAGAGTGGTAGCAGCTTTTCATCAAAGGCCCAAAACGAGCAATGGAACGGATCGAACGTTACATAATGTAAATAATACCGCTAACACTACATATGCCCTCCCCCAGTGGCAGAGCGATATGTCTGCGGGCTTACAACGCTAGAAACCGGGTTTCCATACCCGTGGTGGGCAGAGCACAGATAGCCCATTGTGTAGTTTTGTGTTTAATTACAAACAAATAAACACTACATAAAGAACATAGGTCTATGTGTAGATGAACGTTAGGTAGTTAATTTCGGGATATATAAATAAACTACAATAGGGCTATCTGAGAACAGTGATAGGCTGGATGGAAGATAGCTAGTCAACAGCACTCACCATCATCTCTTGGACTATTCTTGTCTGATCTAAAAGTATGGTTTAACAATTACTCTTATAGCGGATCGTATTTTTGTGGCAATGAATAGCAAACCTCAAATCCTCAGGTACACTCAGGCCTAATGATTATGCCATGCCCGGCCCAAACGTTAGAGAAAGTAGATTTTCATCGCATGCAAAAATCCACAATCTGCGTTTTACTAAGAGATTTAACATAAATATCAAAGCTTAAAAATGAGTTGAACTGTTCTTATTATTTTTACATTAAGGATAATTCCAAATGCATACAAATGAGGTGAATAAATATCCAGCTTATCAACTTTAATTTATATTATTTAATCCGATTTGTAGAACTTTATGTTTACTGACTCTAGGTTTATCATGGCTTCAGAAGAGGCTCTAAGACAAGCTGGAGAATTTGGACGTTTTCAGTACCTCATCGTGGCATTTTTAGGCCTAGTTACAGCACCGTTCATAGCTTTGGTCGTTTTTGGCCACATATTTACCTTATTGGAACCCCCTCACTGGTGTCACGTTCCACAACTAGATGCTTTGAATCTGACAGTTGAACAGAAAAAAACTCTGTCCATCCCTAAAACTGAGCTTGACGGAATTATCCAGTTCAGCAAATGTCAAGCCTATGAAGTCAATTTCACTCATATCTTCCTCGATCACAATGGTTCTGTGCCTAAGCCTGCCCAATGGTGGCCTGTTGCAGACTGTAAGCATGGCTGGGACTATGATTACAGTCTAATATATCCCACTGTTGTTTCTGAGGTGAGAAAAGTAATTTTAAATATTTTAAAGCTCTAACTTCATATGGCGTAACAGAATATGGTGAGATTTTTTTTTTGTTACATCAGACTCCAAAACAAAATCTCATAACATTCTTTTAATTTACAAGTAAGTTTTACTTAGCATAAAGATTACATGTTATAAAATTATCATAAAATATAATAAATATTACTTGACATTATTATTTGAGAAAGTGGTGTTCAAGTAATTACATAATTGAGTTACAGTTCAGCTTTTCTGTGCTATGAAATTAATGTATTTTAATGATGTATGTTTTATGTTGAGGGCGAAGGATTAATATGTTTTAGAAACAAAAGTAAAATGTATAGTAGTTAAAGTAATAGTTTAATATCTGCAACTTGTTTATTTTTTAACATCCATAGATGAATTGGGTATGTGAAGAGAGCTGGAAAATGTTAATGTGTCACACCGTTTTTTGGGCTACAAGTGCTGTTGGCGTTATCGTATGGGGAACCATTAGTGATATGTAAGTATCGTCAAAGTGTCAAAGTATGTTTTTGTCTGAAGAGAAATCGATCTCGAGCTTAGCATGTTGAGCAAAACATTATTGTTATCGAGTCGCATTTAAAAACTTCCAGAATTAGGCAGTTTTTTCTTCTTTTTTATAGGCTAACTTCATGATTTATCAAAGTAATGTTAACAGTGTAACTAATTTAAGTATTTCTATTGTCCACAGCACTTTCCCACAAATTGTATCTGTTTTTATAAGTATATAAATTAATTTATCTACATTGCTGAAAGCCTAGGGGAATATTTAATTTGCAATTTAAGTATGTAATGTAAAAAAAAATAAAAAATTGTCGTAATATTTCTATTGTTGGGTAGGTTCTTATAGTTTATTTGGTAAAAATATTAAAGTGCTTTTTATTAAACCTGCCGCTTGGGGGCACTGCTGTATAGACTGTCTTAGTGTTTGTTTGTTTGTTTTTAAATTTCGCGCAAAGCTACACGAGGGCTATCTGCGCTAGCTGTCCCTATTTTAGCAGTGTAAGACTAGAGGGAAGGCAGCTAGTCATCACCAACCGTCAACTCTTGGGCTACTCTTCTACCAACGAATAGTGGGATTGACCGTTACATTATAACGCCCCCACGGCTGGAAGGGCGAGCATGTTTGGTGTGACGGGGATTCGAACCCGCGACCCTCAGAATGCGCGAAATTCATAACAAACAAACAAAAGTTTAGTCTCAAAACTACGTGTTGTGGTTTTTCTTTCATGTATTGCGTTGTGACGTTTTGTGAAAAATCTGTACGTGATGGAGAAAATGGACATTATTTTCGGATTCAGCTTACAGGAATTACCGTAGAACATGTAAAAATTTCAAGATAATAAAACCATCGCAGGCCTGTGTTATTTCATTCATTTATTAATAAAAAATTATTAAATAAAATTTCAATAAAATATCTTTCTTCTAATTAAATAGTTTTGAAATCCAATAATAAATATGGAGTTAGATTTAATTAAATTATTTAATTAAATTTACATTTTTGTACAAAAAGCAGGGATTACCTTCATTATTAACAAGATTGTTTTAATTAGGTTAGAGGTATCTAAATGGTCAGTATTTTTGAGTAGTGTGATACTAAAAGTAAACCATGCTTTACGGTAAACATAAGAATTGGGCTTAGGATTTGTATTAAAATCAAATTATTTATTTATTTTAGCTCCAAAATTAGTTAACATAATATTATTAATCATAAGGTTAACTGTTGCTTTACAAAAGAAATCAATTAACGTATAAACTTGTTAATGTATTTTCAGGTATGGAAGAATTCCAGTCTTGGTTATTACAAGTGGGATTGCAGGGGGTGCTGGGATTGCTACAATGTTTTTCACAGAATTCATTCCTTTCCTCATCATACGTTCAGTAATGGGATTTGTCTTTCTTTCCTTAAGCATTACATCATTTGTTCTAGGTAAGAGTTAAAAATAACAGTCTCATAAAATTTATCAATTTGTCAACATTTCCTTGAACTACCTATACATATGATTTGACAGATTTTGTGTTTTGTGACTGATAAGTGTGTATCGTTTATGTTCTAGGTAAGAGTTAAAAATAAACAGTCTCATAAAATTTATCAATTTGTCAACATTTCCTTGAACTACCTATACATATGATTTGACAGATTTTGTGTTTTGTGACTGATAAGTGTGTATCGTTTATGATGAATTGTTGATATATGACTTTTATAAAACATTCCTTCAATGAATGACTGAATTCTTTTTTAATGAAAATAGTTAATTCTTTTATTAAAAGCGTTGTTCCTGTTTAAGCTGTTTTTAATGGTCTATAAAATATAGTTTTAATAATTTAAAATTTTCAGGCCTGGATTAGGTATTGCCTTACCAAACATTAATATTTCTTTGTTGAATTTCGCGCAAAGCTACTCGAGGGCTATCTCCGATAGCCGTCCCTAATTTTGAAGTGATAGAATAGAGGGAGGGCATCTAGTCAATACCACCCACAGCTAATATTTGAGCTATTTGGGCTACTCTTTATCAACGAATAGATGGATTGACTGTCACATTATAACTCTCTCAAGGCTTAAAGTGGAAGCATGTTCAGGGACGGGTTCGATCCAACGACCCGCAGATTGCAAGTCGAGTGCCCTAACCACAAGTTCCTACCAGACCAAACATTAAAGAATCTTGTTGTGTTTAAGTGGCAAACCATAAGTTGTTTAGAATAACAAAACATTCAAGAATAAACGTTGCTATATTCTGAGAATTTTCGTTACAGAAAATATAAAAATACTGAATAAAATACGTTCCTGAGTATCTGTTAAAGTTATTGAGAATTTTATTCTACAATAGATATTTTGATATTTTCAACTATATTTGTATGAAATATTAAATTATAAGTAAAATGCTCGAAAACCAATACTTTGAAGATAACCATGAATATCTAGAAAATTTTTAGCACTTTTCAGTCATTTGACAAAGATGCTCCTAGCTCTCTAAGAATATTGGGGCTGTGGGTGCGTTATAAGAGAGACGGTTAAATTCCATTATTTTGGCTGACAACAGTAACCAAAGAGTTGGTAACAGTTGTTGTTGACTAGCTATCTTCTATCTAATATATCAATTCAAAATCATGGACAGTTAACGTAAATAGTTCTTTAAGCGAAATACATTTAAACAAACTGAAAAAACTCCATTTGTATGAAGATATCTTATATTTGTACAGTTATTGAATACGTTGTAACCTCGAAAAGACTGACCGCCTCGAGTGTCTTCCAGTTTATGTATCCTGTTGCAGCTAGCGTAATTCCTTGGGTGGCATACTACCTTAAAAGTTGGCGGAAACTATCTTTGATTGTATCAGTTCCCGCTTTTACTATTCCTGTTTTTTGTTGGTGAGTGACGTGTTATATGGTATTATTCTATACGTAATATTAACGTCTGGATTTTGTTTGAAGTTAAGCACAAAGCTACACAATGGACTATCTGTGCTCTGCATACCACGGGTACCGAAACCTAATTTATAGCGTTGTAAGTTCGCAGACATACTGCTGTGCCACTGGGGGATATTAATGTCTGGAAAAGAAAGAACAGTTAAAGAGACTAGCGTTTAGTAGAATTAAAAATTGGAGTAAGCTTAGAATATTCTATTAGAATGACGAGCAGAGAAAATATTGTGAGAGGTACGAAATAGATTATGTTAAACGAGAATTAAAAACCTGCTTAACACTTCTCGCACAAAATTGTTGCTGTGTTGTCATCTCACTAAACAACAAACTTTCTTTTTTCTGTTTTTAGTATTTTTCAACTTGTTTTGTTTGTTTGAAGTTAAGCACAAAGCTACACAATGGGCTATCTGTGCTCTGCCCACCACGGCTATCGAAACCCAGTTTCTAGCGTTGTAAGTCCGCAGACATACCGCTGTGCCACTAGGGAGCGTTAAACTTTTTTATATTGTTTCTTTCCCTATTTGTTATTATCATTTATTTATAGGTGAGCTCCCAATTAAAGTAAAATAAATAAATTTCCTTTTTTTTACGTGTGTCACATAAGTTGTTATAAAGGTTGAAAATATCAAATACCTTCTTCCATACTTCCCAGTGGCTCGGTGATAAGCCTGGGGGCTTATAGTGCTAAAATATGGTTTCGATACCCGCGGTGGGCAGATCCAGATAACCCATTGTGTAACTCTTTGCTTAATAACAAACAAGCAACTTTGTTTTATAGATAGATCTTAGGTTAAGACACCAACCATATTCACCGTTAGATTTTTTAAGACTGTTATTTTGCTCTTGCTGCGTTCGATTTGTTTTAAGTTGCTGTAAATAATGTTTTTTTTTTGTAAGATTCGTATAAATAATGGGAAAATTTAAAATATTTGTTAGTAAAACCTTGGTGGACAAAGCATCATAGAATAGGATCATATATATGAACTTGTCTATCTGGGTTTCACAAAGAATTACTAAAATCCAAAGATTTTTGTTTTTAATAGTCAAAGGTTGATCTTATGTTTTAAAACTGGTTGAAACAAATATTTTATCACGTGCTAATAGTATGATTAGGGAAATCACGCATGATCAAAAATTAGGTTAATCATAAACAAATAAACCTCATAACATCGCCGCTTTTTTGAAATTGGACCTGTTTTCTCTGCGGAAGTATTTAAGTTAAAATAGAGATAACAGATTAGAAGCTAACAACAGACTTCTTATTTTTTTTTTAGGTTTATGCCAGAATCTTTAAGGTGGTTGGTTAGTAAAGGGAAAGACGAAAAGGCTAAAGTCATTATTGCAAGAATTGCTCATATTAATGGAAAACATCTGCCAGAAAATTACATAGAAACTTTGAAGGTATATTTTTTTTTCTGAAATTTATGAAATACCCTAATCTTAAAAACAGCATACACATTTATTTAATTTTCAAAACATGTATTGATACTTATAATAAGAGAAATAACATATATATATATATGCATGTATTTTGTATTTTTGTTATTTTCCATAATAATGTCGTATAAAAAAAAGGACTTCTACCAACTAGTACCTGATTACAAAACAACGAAAGATAACATTTTAAGCGATATTATAGAAAATAGTATTCATTTTAGATCTAGACCAGCCCTCCAGTGGCTCAGCGGTAAGTCTAAAAGCATATAACGCTAAAATCCAGTTTTCGATGGCCGTGGTAGGCACAGCACAAATAGCCCATTGTGTATCTTTGTGCTTAACAACAAATAACAACATCATTGAAAGCACATTGTGTAGCTTTATGCTTAACAACAAACAACGACATCATTGAAAGCACATTGTGTATCTTTGTGCTTAACAACAAACAACAACATCATTGAAAGCACATTGTGTATCTTTGTGCTTAACAGCAAACAACAACGTCATTGAAAGCACATTGTGTATCTTTGTGCTTAACAACAAACAACAACATCATTGAAAGCACATTGTGTATCTTTGTGCTTAACAACAAACAACAACATCATTAATAGCACATTGTGTAGCTTTGTGCTTAACAACAAAGAACAACATCATTGATAGCACGTTGTGTATCTCTGTACTTAACAACAAACAACAACATCATTGATAGCACGTTGTGTATCTCTGTACTTAACAACAAACAACAACATCATTGATAGCACATTGTGTAGCTTTGTGCTTAACAACAAACAACAACATCATTGATAGCACGTTGTGTATCTCTGTACTTAACAACAACAACATCATTGATAGCACATTGTGTATCTTTGTGCTTAACAACAAACAACATCATTGAATACAAAATTATGTTTCAACTTATTACTTCATAATATTTTTGAACTGCACTTCAAGTACATAATACATTTTATGAGTAATTGTTTTTGCTTGGAGTTAAGCACAAAGCTACACAAAGGGCTATCGGTGCTCTGCCCACCACGAGTATCGAAACCCGGTTTCTAGCGTTGCAAGTCTGCAGACATACTGCTGTGCCACTGGGGGCTTTTATGGGTAAATCTAAATATTGATGAGCGATAAATGTCAGTTTGAATTTTTTTCGGGATATTCATGAATGTTTATACATTTGTTTCTTTTTATTTTCAACAGCTAATTGATATATCTGATGTTAACAAGAAAAAGATTACTATCATGGATCTTTTGAAAACTTCAAATTTACGGAAGAATTTTCTACTAACCCTTGTTGTCTGGTAAGTACAAAAAAAGCCAAATAAATTTTTTATAAGTTTTGCAAAGACTATTGTTAGTTCTTAATAGTTTAACTTGATTTAATATACTTGAACTGCATACAAATAGCTCTTTTATCGGTATCTTTTATTGACAACTAGTTTAGGCTCGGTATAAAAAAAAAATATGTTTTCTTACCTTATTTTATTACGTGAACCAATGACAAAATTACTAGTGACAATGTATAAGCAATTTAGCCTAGAAATGTAGTTATATATAATGTTCTGAGCCATTCAACTATGCACCTTGTGAGTCGTTATGACCGTCAACCAATATAGGCGGGGATTACAAAAGTTGCCATCAAGTAAACAGGGTGTTTAAATATTGTAGGCATTAGTTAAAGTCTATAACTTAGTAAAGTCCCTTTCCAGCTTTTGCTAAAACAAATAAATACACGATATTCGGCTAGTGATAATTAACTTTATACGTATTTCATTATAGTCTTTCCGCAGGTATCAGTAAGAAAAGTGCCCCTTATTCTATAGAAGGATCTGTTATCAATCAGAAGGCATAAACACTTCAAAACATGGGTACAGCCCCTGCTGTGTCTTCCACCAACTTGTGAGCTCTTCACATATACTATGATTGTACTTAACTTTAGAAGAGAGACAACAAATTTAGCAACATTACTGGTCAATCTTCACTTTTGGTCGTCCTGTGCAAGAACTGAGGGAAATGTGTGGGTAATATGAATTTTTATTTTTTTTTATTGAAACTAAAGTATTAAATAGAATATTCATCCTCTGTGTCATTAATTTTATGCCTTTTTCCCCCTAACTTTCCCTACAGGATCATTTGCTCAACTTTGTACGTCGGTGGTCAGATGTACGCTGCCACCGTGATGGACAATCCTTTCATCATGACGTCCATTACTTGTTTCGTTGACGTTCTCGCGACAGGCATATCAGTACCCCTAGCGGACAAGTGGGGACGTCGACCCAGCATGGTAGCAATGTTTGGAATGTCGTCCATTGCATATTTTATGATTTCTTTCGTATCGTCCGGTAAGAAACTATGGCTATCATAATTCTAGATTGTCTTGATAAAAGACACACAACCCCACCACCACACATATAAACACACACACACGTTACATGGTCAATTATACAGAGTTCGGTATGTTACATTAATATGATTTTGAATATGCAAATCAGTAGGTCACGTCACAACCGTAGCCGATACAAAGTCGTGGCGGAACTACAAATATCACAAGTACATTTTGTCATTGTTGGGCATTTCGTAGGTAGTGTGATACTACCAAAAAATGTATCGTTTTTTTGGAAGGGGTATGTAATAGGCCATTTCTAGGCAAAATATTCATATAATCAGATCATAAAGATGTGTTTAAACCAGGGATTTAGTATTTCTGCGACGGGAATATTACTTGTACTTTATGGCGTAAGAAAACAAAGGAATGTGGATCAGTTTGATGCACCAGGACATCCAGAAAGAACTCTGCAACAAATCATACCTCATCCGTGTTAAACAAAGTGCGGCGTCTTGTAGCAGGTGAGAAAACACGAATTAAAAGCTCAGTAACAAAACCATCTATGTGCTCCGGGCAACAATATTCAACATAATCAAGAAGGATCTACGACTGAAAAAGCGACGCAAGTCATATATATATAACTTGCTTCCACGACATATCCATTCAATCGGACTCGCATACCTCAAAGAGTTGAAGAATGAAATTAATATTCATACTGTTCCATTTGAAGGCATACCGATCAAATCACCAGATGCAGCGTCTACAGATCTCTGTACGATCGAATAGTTTAAACAGACACTGGCATCACATCGTCCTCAAACATTAGATGGGTTATGGAAATCCAGTAAGAAGGAGGGGCGTGCTTTGGAAATGACAGCCTTACAACGATGACATTTGAAGGGCTATTGTCAAGATGCACTGTCATCAGATAGAGCATGACCAGACGTAACGACATGGACTGTAACTATGTAGTGAGGCTCCAAAATTGTTTTAATATAACATAGTCAACTTCTGTACAAATATTTATGTGTATGAACATAGAAATATAAAGCTGATTTTTTTTAATAACATGTTCTTGATTTTTACATCTTTCATTCATGGTTTAGTAGTGTATATTTGTTTTCAGTGTCCTGTAATAAACTGGATGGTTATGTCAACCAGAAGTTGAAAGAAATGGTGATTCAGCCTCAAAAAATAGCAAACTAACTTTGTTACATACTCCTGAAAAAAAAATACTACCCGGGTTTAAAACTTAATATAAAGCGTCAGCTATGAGCTATGTTATTTTATTTTATGATTCAAGACATGTAATTCTTTTTTTTTAATATCGCCTGGATAGAAAAACTGAAGCTTTATATTCTTCATTCAAATTCTAACAGGAAATACGCTTGTTATTGCAATTGTCGCATTTATTGGCCGACTTGCTCTCACCACGGGATACAATGCTGCTTATCTTCATGCTGCCGAAGTCTATCCGACAGTTGCCCGAACTCAGGCAATGGCCGCCAGACAAACATTTGGATCGATTGGTGCTTTCCTAGCTCCGCAGATAACTTATTTGGTAAGAATATTATAAACTATACAATGTCATTTGTATATATTCATATCCTCTGGAGTCTCCTCATTAGTTTCTACCCAGAGAATAATCACTGTGAGGCTTGATGAATTTTTTTTGAAGGTGCATATTAGACTATGTCCTTCGTGTTGCATTCTGAATACAAGGTAACCTGTGTCCGTCTTTTAAACATCCTGGTCACAAGGTAGAATGTGTCCTACATCTTGCATATTAATCACAAGGTAGACTGTGTCCTACGTCTTGCATTTTAATCACAAGGTTGAAGGTGTCCCACATCTTGCACATTAATCACAAGGTAGACTGTGTCCTACATATTGGATTTTAATCACAAGTTAGACTGTGTCATACATCTTGCATATTAATCACAAGGTAGACTGTGTCCTACGTCCTGCATTTTAATCACAAGTTAGACTGTGTCATACATCTTGCATATTAATCACAAGTTAGACTGTGTCCTACGTCCTGCATTTTAATCACAAGTTAGACTGTGTCATACATCTTGCATATTAATCACAAGGTAGACTGTGTCCTACATCTTGCATTTTGATCACAAGGTAGACTGTGTCCTACGTCTTGCATTTTAATCACAAGGTAGACGGTATCCTACGTCCTGCATTTTACTCACAAGGCAGACTGTGTCTTACATCTTGCATATTAATCACAACGTAGACTGTGTCCTACGTCTTGTATTTTATCACAAGGTAGACTGTGTCTACGTCTGCATTTTAATCACAACCTAGACTGTGCCCTGCATCTTGCATTTTAATCAGAAGGTAGACTGTATCCTACGTCCTGCATATTAATCACAAGGTAAACTGTGCCCCACATCTTGCATATTAATCATAAGGTAGAATGTGTCTTACGTCCTGCATTTTATTCACATGGTAGACTGTGTCCTACATCTTGCATATTAATCACAAGGTAGCCTGTGTCTTACGTCCTGCATTTTAATCACAAGGTAGACTGTGTCCTACATCTCAAATTTTGATCACAAGGTAGGTTGTGTCCTACATCTTGCATATTAATCACAAGGTAGACTGTGTTCTATGTGTTGCTTCCTGGTCACAAGGTAGGATGAGTCTTACGTTTAACATCCTAGTCACAAGGTAGACCGTGTCCTTGGTCTTGCATTCTATATTTCTTACTTGGTGATTTTATTCTTTTCAGGTGGTCTCACTATAGTGTTAGTTTTCTTTTAAAAACTACTTTTTTTATCAAACTATTTCTTAATACATCTGAATACCTCACCTATTCTGGTATATCATCACACTCATTTGTATTCTCCTCTTTTAAGCTATTCGATCTCTGATCGTATCCGCAGTTATAGTTAGTTATCTAGCGTCTGTATTGTCTGTCTCACTAAGAAACACATTTACAAGAAATTCTCATGCCAAACTGTTTTTTATGGGGATTCGTTGTTGTTATGTAAAGTGAAGGAATTGACTTGAGTGTTAATGTTTTCGGGTACACATTTATGTTCTGTAAAGCAATTTTCAGGAATATTCGTTTATGGTTTTCTTAATAAAAAATTGCATTGAAATATTCTGGTTATTTAAATCAAAAAGCAAACAAAAAGGTTTAAACGCTTTCGAAAAGTAGCATTGTTCATTATTTTCTAAAGTTTCGTTATATTGTTTATTTTCTAAAGTTTCGGTATATTATTTATATTGTTCTGCCTCTCAAAACTTATGTCTCAATTCACAACCTTGTTTGTTTTAGGTCTTCTCCTTACTCGTAAGCTTGACAGCATAATTGAAGTTTAAAGTTTTGTTTCTTTCACGAAATTTTCTTACTCTTAAATTGACAGTTTTGAATACCTCTCCTTTTGTAAATTGTCTGTTAAGTAAAATCTTGTATTCTGTAAATACGTGAATATCTGAAACCTCAGCCAAGGAAACTGGCTTTGAAAAATAAGCGTTCCAGAATTTGGAACATGTTACTCCGCACATTTAAACAAATTTGTTTAACATTTGCACGAACGTTGAATCTCTTTGTTTTTTTCAATTTTCAATAAACAAAATATTGATCAAATGTTTCTCTTTAATCTTTTCTTGATTTTCTTTTTGTATACAGGCTATTTATGGGAAGTACTTGCCTCTAGTGGTATATTCGTCGCTGGCTTCTGCAAATGTATTTTTTACGTTCATGTTACCAGAGACACTCAACAAAGACTTACCCGAAAGTCTCGTCGATGGGGAAAACTTCGGTCGGAACCAGAATTTGTGCTGTAGAAAACTTAAGAAGCGGAATGTTCTGCCATTAAATTTCACTCAAGTTACCATAATTGAAGATGATACAAACAAATGATGGGTTCATAAGGGTGCAAAAATCTGTGATGTTTGTTTTTTTACTATAAACAGAAAATTTTGTACTGATTTCATTTTATAAATTCCTTGAATTATGAAGAAATTTGAGAACGTTCAATATGAAAGATTTTTTTTAGATTGAACTTATTAGATATTGAAAAATCTGATCTTGTTCGGTGCAACGTTGTAGACAGTTGTTACGACTATTTAATCAAATATATAGCGGTATATCACGATTTTACAAAACTATACTTTGCCACACTTAAGTTCTGTTGTTTCTTATAAACACGACTCTTACCTCCCAGTGGTACAGCGGTATGTCTGCGGACATACAACGCTAGAAACCTGGTTTCGATACCCGTGGTAGGCAGAGCACAGATAGCCCATTGTGTAGCTTTGTGCATAACTACAAATAAACACAACGCTTTTCAAACCTAATTTATCAATCAGCAGAAACGTACGTATCTTCCATAAGAACTCGTTATTAAACATTTCCCGCAACATCATTTTTATATCGAAACGTATTTACTTTTTGTATGTTTATAACAATATTTAATTGAAACTAGTATATATATATATATATCCAATAATGTTAAACTAAAGGCATTCGTTGAGTGTATACAAACATTTAGCTTTTCCATCAGCTACACTTATATATCTACTATATAATATATAACACATTCACGACTTGCACTTTATAAAACAGCTGGAAGAACGCCGTTGTTGAAAGTATGTGTATTATATGCATACATACGAAACCCAATACTGTGACTGTCGTGTGATTATACATTTTAATCAGATAGTTTCCTTTCGTTTGTATGTAGACTAGTTATATGGAAGTAATGGCCAAATCGGCTGGTTTTAATAGTTTATAAAGTTTATCTGAAAATATGTGTGTTTTATGACCATACTTAAGGGAAATGTTTCTATTTCTCAGTGATAGTTAATCTATGATTATTTGGTGTATTTAATTTTTAGCCCTTTATAGCTGTTTAATGTTCTTTACAACAAACAATCTTGTATATGTGCTCTTAAAAATACAGTACCTACCAATAATGTCAAATTTTGATGAAATAAAAATAATATAAAGATTTATTAATGAACTTGTTTTTATTCAAAAACTCTAATGATCAAACTTAACACTGTTATGTGTGAAACGGGTAGAATGTCAGCAAAATATACAAAGAAAATATATAAATTGAATTTTGCTGATTGCATAAGTATTCAGACCCCTAAGTCAGTACTTGGTGGAAGCACCTTTGGCAGCAATTATTGCTGTGAATCTTTTTCGATAGATCTCTACCAGCTTTGAACAATGGGGTGGTGCAATTTTTGCCTATTCTTCCTGGCTAGATCTCCAACGAATTTTAACAAGTTCGATGGGGATCGGTGATGAACTGAAATAGTCATGTCTCGCCACAAATTTTCTATTGGATTCAAATCAGGATTTTGACTGGGCCACTCCAAAACATTCACTTTCTTCTTTTTAAACCACTCCAGTGTGGCTTAGGCCTTGTTCCTCATGACATTGTCCTGCTGAAATGTGAATTTTCGACCAAATTTTAGATTATTGGCTAACTCAAGCAGATTTACTTCTAGGATTCGCCATCCATCTTTCCCTCAATCCTAAAAATATTTCCAGTCCCTGTTGATGAGAAGAATCCCCATAACATAAAACTGCCACCACCATGCTTGACTGTTGGGATGGTGTTGACTGGGTGATGCGCTGTGTTGGGCTTGCTCCAGACTTAATGATTTGAATTTAGACCAAAAAAAAGCTCAATTTTTTGTCTCTTCTGACCACAAAACCTTCTGCTACATGTCTGCAGTATCATTTACATGCTTTTAGCAAACTCCATACGAGATTTAACATAATTCTTTTCCAGTAATGGCTTCTTTCTTGCCACTAGCCCATACAGGCCAGCTTTGAGTAGGTACCAGGAAAATTTCGATGTATGAACATTGATTCCCATCTCAGACATGGAACTTTCCAAATTATTCAAAGTCACTGTTGGCTTTACAGTGACATCCCTAACAAGTTTCCTGCTTGATTGGCTGCTTAGTTTGGAAGGGCGGCCTCATCTGGGTAGTGACTTTGTGGTATGAATCACATTCCACTTCTTAATGATGGACTTCACCATACACAAAGGGATAATCAGCGACTTTGGAATTTTTTGTAACCTTCTGCTGATCTGTGCTTTGCTACCACTTTATACCTGAGTTGTTTGGAATGCTCCTTGGTATTCATAGTTGTTGTCGTGAGTTGTGGCTTGAACAGATGCATTTACTCTAAAGTCAAGTTAAAACACTTTGATTACATACAGAAAAAGACCATTACACTAATTTTGTGACTTTTCAAACTAATCTTTTGCACTTGAACTGATTTAGGGTTGCCGTAGCAAATATTTGTTTGTTTGTGGTTAAGCACACAAAGCTAAACAATGGGCTATCTGTGCTTTACCCCCCACGAGTGTCGAAACCCAGTTTCTAGCGTTGTAAGTCTGCAGGCATGCCACTATGCCACTGGGGGGGGGGGCGTAGCAAAGAGGTTTACTACTTATGCATTTGAGAATATTCTAATTTTCTTTGAAAATCTAACTTACATAATATCAGCGGTTTTCCAGCTTTCTCAGTTTGGAGTAGATTGTGTAGATTCTAAATATAAAGTCCCGTTTGAAAGTTTCATGATTGCAAGCTCAGATGGCAACAAAATGTGGAAACTTTGCAGAAGGAGGATGAATACTTTCGCAAGGCACTGTATATAAACTTTTGTATAAATGATATACAACCTTGTGTTGTTCAGTGTTTGACATGAGCAAATAATAAATTCTTATTTTGTTTGACGACTCGAATTAATGAAGATACTTAGCACGGACAATGATGATTTTGTAGTATTACAATAACAAACATACATATAAATGTACCAAGAAATATGAGCTTGCGTGAACAAGCAATAATGCGATGTATGAAGGTGTATGAACTTCCTTAGGGTATTATGCTATCCAGAGTCACGACAGTGAAATCAGCCCGAAACAAATGGTCAATATTGTAACGATATATACTGGACTAAATCTGAGGTATTGCCACAGAAGGTTTAAATACTATAGTATGACTATTCTAATGCGTCTGACCAAATCTAAATACTCTAACATCACATTCAAAAGAGCAATGTAATATCTATTATACATTAAGGAAAATAAGTAGCAAACATTTCAGCACTCTAGAATATCTTGAAGTTATCACTATTCTACTAAGATTCTGGTTTTTTCATTCAACGCCCTGTATTATAAGTACGGTAGTATTTATAATAGGAATGGAGTAGAAACACAATACATACAATACAAACTATTTACTCATATACACCTTTAACAACAAAATAATAAATATTCAAAAGTATTTGAAAGACACCCTTAGGATGTTGGGCACGCCCGCTTGTGACTTTCTAAAGAGGAAGCTTTATTACACCATGCCTATTCCTACCTTGTTTCCTCACTTTTTTGGTTCACCCATTCCTACACTTTCAATTTTTTGTAAAATATTTTATCCACTCATAGTAGTAAAGATTACTAATAATATTGTTGAAAAAAATGACAGCACTATCTGTTCAATAATACCTCTAATTTTCTTTCATATACTTCTTAGATTTAAATTAAAATAATCATGATAAACTGGTAGAATAATTCCATAATTTGATAAAAACGACTTTTTGCGAAAAAATATTATAATTAAAATCAAGCTTTGTATTTTGAAAATTGTAACTTAAAATAAAGACAGTGACATCTGACCAAAACAATGTCCATGAAAAAACAGACAGATAAAGGTGTGATATCTGCAACAACAAAAAAGCGAAAAAGAGCCAAGTTATATAAATGTGTAACAATAAGGATGCAATATTCAAATGGTTAAGTTAAAGAGACACAAGTGGAGAAAACTTGGACCCTACGTTTTGTTCATGGTGCTACAGTTTTCTGTTACTTTTATGTCGTATCAAATACTGAAGACACCTGTATTGAGGTTTAATTCACTTTTGTTGAAACGTTGATTTAATTTGTTTCTCTTTCTTTGTTTTAGATTTTTATTTTGTTTTGCCTTCCAAAAACACCCAACATTTTAATGTCATCAGAAAATCTAAATAATCTATTGACCATTCTTTCATTTATGTCATTGATATAAATCAAAAAGAACGAAGGTTTTAACACTGAGCTTTGAGATTCCCCATTCAGGACATTAATCCAGCTGGAATAAACTAATTCATAACAACCTTCTGCTTCCTTCCATCTAACCAATTAGCTATCCAAGGAGCCAAGATATCCTTCATACCTACAGAGATAACATTTTTAACAAGCATTTAATTTAACATATTGTCAAATGCTTTTTCAAAATCCAGATACACAAAATCCACAAACATACCCTCACCTGTATAAACAGTAGCCTCTTCTAACAATATCAGAAGATTAGTAAGTCAAGGCTTTGTAACTCATCTTTTATCAGACCTTATCATTAAGACAAGATTTCCCTTCATGAAACTATGCTAAGTATCCAACAAACCTTTAAACTTTGTTAAATGACTTTGTAACACATCTTTTATCAGTCTTTTTTCCCAGCACTTATGTCAGACTAATAGGCCTATAATTACTAATACAATTTGTGTCACCTCCCACAAAAAGATCATGTAACGAATTTCTTGTTTTATATATATATATATATTTTAATGTTAACGTTTGTTTGAAATGAGTTTATATTTAAAACATGCATAGATTATAGTGTTAAATATCTACTGCGCAACTCCCGCCTATTCTCCAAAGTTGTAGAAGATTCTCGAGAGTTAGAATCAAAAGTATATGTGTGTACGTAAATGTTTTAAGTTGCATTGTTACGTAATCTGAATTTTCTAGAAAATCTTCCCACACCCATAAATATAACCAATGCGACGCGCCAAAGAGTGTCTATTAGTAGCTCACTATAATCAGTGTGCTATATACTTCAAAAGCTGTAACTGTGATTTTTATAACGCTTATCAATCGGAAAACTTCAGATATTTGACCTTTATGAAGTTCGAACATTACAAATTAGTTAACTTCAGTGGATTCTCATCGGACATTCGTATTTTTACGAAAACATTACCTGACTTCAACGGTGGAAAACCTAGCGTGTATGGCCAAGGACAAAGCTAGCTCGCTTACCGACGAATCGTACTTACATCAACTCGTAATTAACTCGCTCATCGTAAACCCTCGATAAGATATCAAGGGAGTTCCAAACTAGAAAAAAAGATTTTATATTCTTTGTAAGTTTGTGAACCTTTTGTTTATAAATCTTTGTTTGTAATAACTATTTGTAATAATTGTTAATGTAAATTGTATTGTTGTGTGTATATTAAAACGTATTTGTAATAAAAACGAAGACGGCGTGTATCAATCTTTTTGGCAAATATCGTAAATTGACTAATATATTGGCATATATTTAAATACTAAATCCAAAGTACAATTTAACTACTAAACTTAAATTATCGGTTAACTCGGCTTCGGACTATTTGAAATTCTAATACCTAACAATGAGTAACAATTTCCAATCTTTTGGCATCTGCCCACTATTCAAGGACTTAGAAAAAAATAGTAGCAAGTGGCTGGTATATCCGAACATTAACCACTTTAAAACATTTTATAAATATTATCTGGTCCTGAAATTTTATCAGTATTTAAAATTAATTTTTTTTCTTAACAAGCCAAAAATTAATGTAGTAATCATTTCCAACCGTGTTTCTATTTAGCAACTGTTCAGAATGAAAAATATTTCTTAAATCTTCATTATTAAAAATTGAAGAAAAACTAGAATTTAATAACCCATTCATCCCATAATCACCAGATATTAGCCAATTTGTATCATCCCTCAAAAGCCTTCCTCCCATCTTAACATTCTGTTTCTCCTTAACGTGTTTGAAGGAATCCCTACTATTAGATTATATATTTTCAGCCTATTTTGTTTCATATACTTTTCTGATTTTCTGTTTGGCAAACTCTCTTGATCTTCTATAATTCTCCAAATCTTCCATCATTGTTGTAAATATAAACTTCTTGTGTTTGTAATGCTTTAACCAAGTTTTAGTTT